GAAATGGCTGACCCCATTCGCAGCACCCACCAATGTTGCTCAAGGTTTAGCGTTCATACTTGTGCAATTGTCAATTATTAAGCAATTATTGCGCAAGTCTGGGGCACCATAACAACACATAAATATTCTGCATGTGCATCTTTTACTAAAAAATGCATACATACGTAATTTTAAGGACCGTAGCGCTTATCACGCTGCGCTGACCATGCAACGCTTGCACGAAAAGGCGAGTGTTTCCAACGCTTTGCTAAGACAAGGCGGTCTTGGCACCTACCCATCGCCTTGCGTTCCTCACCTTATCACTTCTGAGACGGGCACGCACACCAGTCTCAAAGCCACGCGCTTCGTTTTGCAAGAAGAGTGCCAGGTGGGGCTCATGTCTCACGTAGGACATGACTTGATGCGCTCGTTCTCCTCCGCTGCACGCTCGAGGCACTCTAACACAGCGCCTCCGGAATACCATTCACCAATTTTCTTGCGCAAAAACATCAAATAAATGTTTTGTTCACTCTTTCCACACACAAGACTATCGTACTTTGACGACATTTGCAGATTACATGCAGATGCGGGGCCAAACTTTTTTTGTTTTGCATCTTTAACAACTAAACTAATTGTGGTATGGTACATGCATACGCATGAAAACGGTTGTGTTGGTGCATACGATGCTTCGTGACTTTATCAATATACAATACGATTTACGAAATCAAAAAAAAAAAACATCGGCCTAAGATGGCGACCAACAGATGTCTTACTGTAAGGAAAATACGCTATATGGACCTCGGTGGGTCTTTATGAAAACGCTGAAAATTAAGGGGCCGAATTATGAAAAGCCTTAGCATCAGAATGCTCAAAAAAATTCTAAATGCCGAAAAGTTGAAACGCCTGAAAAACGAAATGCCGAAAAATATAAATGCTGAATTGACATAACGCTGAAGACCACTTGAACTTTGGCGAAAACCAACGTGATCTGTGCAGAGAGAAATTGACGAGGACGCAATGTGGAGTACTCCCAGAAAGGAAAAAAAACTTACGTTATTTGCAGAAACAGTTATGTTTGTGTGTTCGACAAGAAAAAAAATCTCCTAGACACCATTAGGGAAGCGAGGAGAATTAATGCAATGCCAGAGTGATTACCGACCTTCCTGTGGAATACTAGCTGCCTTAGTAATATTGAAGACAGGAATACACGCAATCTATGCTGTTGAAAATCATTACTTCCTTGAAAAAGGAGCAAACTATAGGCTCGAAGAAAACGTTGAAGGAGCGATTCGAGATTATCACCACCGCTCACAGAACAAAAGCCGAAAGAGTTAGCGGAAATCGTTTGGCATCTTCTCTGGGCAACCAGTACAACGTCAACAAGGAATTGAACATTGTTTGACAAGAAATTTGACACAACTTATTCGACTCAAATACAATATTACCACGTGTACGTGTTATTTTGATGTGCTCGGCTTAAACCCACAAAGACTGAGCAATACGTAATTGGTGCAGATGCTGCCTCACAATGTTCGAGAAGCTGCATGTAGATAATTGGTCAAAGATAAGATGACTGCGCAGATAGAAATATTGTATCTCATAGTAACTCAAACCAACCCTGTTTTTGTTATGAAAAGCAGAGTTACATTTTTATTTCTTAATTGTAAATCGCGAAAACAGCCTGTGGGGCCCCCTGGAGGCAGAAACCTAAATTATCCGACGTGCCTTGTTATGTGACCATAAACTACTGTACGCAGTCAACAATCCTTCTGTTAGTACTGAAATATTGTTTGCTTCATCGCAATATCAACATGACGGTGCACTGCTCCGATTTTCAAGAACTTGAAAAAATTCCAGGGCATTGAAAACACAATTTTATAACTCAAGAGTATTCAAGGACCTTAAGAACCTGTATGCACCCTGCTAACAATTATTACTAACATGAATGACATCATGCAAAAGAATTTGGTACACTGCGATGTAAAAAGTTGTGTTTATCACCATTAAAATGTAGTGTTTTGTCTATAATTTTGCCAATCTTAACTATCTCTTACAAAACCACACTCAAATGCCAAACTACTAAAATGTGATGTGCCTTCTTTTCCAGAGCCTGGTATCTAGTGTGTAAATACTTTTCAAATCACCTTTTTGACTAATTACTATACTGCCTTGTTTTATATCAGGAAAATGAAATTCACATCACTGATTTACCTGATATCTAAGATCATTACATGCTTTATTGTGTTTGCTGACTCATCAGCTTATTAAAAGATGTGTTGCATGTACATAAAAATTCCTGAAGTATAAGCTTCACCTAGGAAGCTTTTCTGTAGACGCACGTATCTGCATTTACTTCAGCAACATTCACTGCTTTCCTTCTAACCAAAGTTGTAATTTATTCATCCAACTTGAATCCTCCTGATCAGTATCTTTGAGTATAGATATATCTTTTTTAATACATTAAGTATGCACACAATTGAAGAAAAAAAAATCACAGCATATCCACAGAGTGAATGATGATGAGTAGTGCAAAGCGTCCGTCAGCCCGACCGTGCTTCAACCGTCCGTTCGGTCTTGCTTCCTACTGTCCGCGCGACCATTCATGCATCAGTCCATCTGTCTGTCCGTCCATTCTTGCATCCATCCATCCGCCTTCAAGTCTGTCTGTCCGTCTGTGCGTCCATCTAGAGAACACTCCAAGTACCGCCATCTCGCATCGCCTGTGGCACATATCCGCTCCTTGCGTCCATGCATTCATCTGCTAGTCTGTCTGTCCATCCATCCATGCCTCGTCGTCCGTACGTCCATCTAGGCAACACTCCAAGTACTGCCTTCTCCCATCTTGCATCCTCTGTGGCCCATACCCGCTCTAGAACGAGTATGTGCCACTGGTGGCTACATACATCAACGGAGAATGGACAGACTCACACCCTAAGGAGCTTCGCCCCTAAATGTATATAAAACCTATATGTGCGTAGAGATTCTAAACGATGCTTGAGCTACTACAAAGGTTTTGTTTAGTTGCGCTACTTGACCATTCCGAAATTTTTGTGTTTACCTGCAAGCTAGGCAATCTCGCATCCCCTGTGATACATACTTGCTCTAGAACAGGTATCTGCCACTGGTGGCTACATACATAGACGAAGGATGGACAGACCCACACCCTAAAGAGCTTCGCCCCTAAAGAATGCATTTGAAGGCAAAAACCTGCTGCCTCCTCGGCAGTTCATTCAGTTATAAAATCGGGGATCAGGTTTCTTGTAGAACATAATGTAGTTGAGTGCAACGGGTGTGAAAGACGTGTTAAATCACCTTGACATTGTTAGTTGTTTGCACTGTCAACCAACGCACGTGTGTAAGAGTGTTTCCTTTCTGTCTAGCCTCGCACGCCACAGGAGGGCTCATGTTGTGCCAATAAAAATTAATATTGTTATTCTCTGCACCGAAGTTTCCCACACACCACTGGGTGCTGCACTTCCTCCACGATTTGACCCAGGTGACAATGTCTACTGGTGATGCCATGATGTCATAAATATTAAAGCTCTGTCATGCCACGGTGTGACATCATTCTTGATATAGGTGGCATAGGTTCTTGTACCACGTCATTCACCTGTCATGTTTCGCTCAAGGGTTCCCACAATGAGGTGCTTACGAGTTCTTCGTTAAAAAGCACATACAGTGAGAAGTAAACAAGGCAGGAGCTCGAGGGAAAATGGAAGCTCGAAGAGAGGAAAAATACCTGTACAGGGAATGTCACTGTTCGCACACAATCCTTCATTGGCACGTTTCTGTCAATTTAATCATCTTATGAAATGCACTGCTCAATAAAGGTTAACATGCCCATTCGGTATTAGACGTCAGTCGTGAACTTATTACCTAAATGCATTCGTGAATCTGTCAAGCGCAGCAGCTCACAATTTATATTGTCGGACTACTCTCTACATGACTTATTCACCACTAATAAAAACTTGGAGTGTTATCGAAAGCATGAACAACGTGAGAATAGAGGTGTCACCTGTGTCATTAGTTTTTTCACTATCCTCTTTTATCGGTCATTAGGGGTAATCGAAGTGAACAATTGGGCCAGTTGGTGACATGATCTAAGTATACTATGTGGTAGAAAACGCAGACGGAAAAAAGACAAAGACAAGCACAAACTATCAACTGAAGGTTTATTTATCCCGCATTGCATTTATATATGACAACCAGGAAAAAATAAGAAAGAAAGGAAAGTAGCATTTGAACTAACGTCAAAGTTCATACACCCGAAGCACGAGGCAGAATATCAGAGTCACTACACACATGTGCCATTTGCCAGATAATGAAGCTCTTTATCAGGGAGAGCAACCGATAATTTCCTCATGCAGTTGTTAGGTTCCCAAGCCATTCTCTCTGCTTTAATAATCATGCGGGTGTGATAATCTTTGTGCCTATGCAATACAACTGTATTAAATAAGCCAAATACAATGTGGAATAAATAAACTTTCAGTTGATAGTCTGCACTTGTGCTTGTCTTTTTCCCGTTCGTGTTTTTCTACCGCCTAGTATTCTTAGATTAGCGATAAATACATTGTACACTAAACGCCCACTAGACAAAACTAAAGTTCTCCTTTAACCAGTGTTGTTTACCAGGTATTTTGTGAATTCTTGTCTGTAATGAACACCCAGAATCTTCATTTCTCAAAACACTGAAAATCAGCAAGGATATCTCAGCAGCAAGTGAGAATACACCAAGTTAAGTGAACATAAGCCTGATAAATTATTGCCAGTAATAAACAAACTGAGGGGGTTCTGTTGTTCGTTCTTTAGTCTGGAAAACGCACAGGATCATTCTGTTATCTCTAAAGAAATACATACACACATTATCAAAACTTCATGGTTCACAAAATTTAAAAAAAAAAATGAATATTCCCACTGGTTCATCAGGCGCTGACTGTACGAGCATGCAATGTACAAACATACATGACAGGCACTAATCAGCTTGAAAACAGCTTAGAAGCTGTCAAAACATTTCCACTCACCGCAGCCAGGTTTCAATGCTGAAGCCGCGGCGTCCACTGCTTTCCAAGGGTGAGGTAAATCTAGAAAAACAGCATCGGCAAGTCCCTCGATGCCGAAACCATCCTGACAGACATCACGGTGTGCACATGTCACAACAGAGTTCAGGCCGTGCTCTTGAAACTCCTTTTGGGCCACCTGAGCGCGGTGCTCATGGAAGTCGAACGTGTAAACATGACCATTCGGTGCTACAGTCCGGGCAAGTGCGTGAGTCATCGACCCACTGCCAGTGCCTGCAAAAAAAGCAAGACAAAGAATTGAAAACGATCAGTACAAGACTTCCACCAACTGTTGGGTTGAAAATGACCTTCGAGATCGCATGTTTACCACACGTATCATGGACACACACACAGATTTCATGTATCACACGTTTACATTATTGATGCAATGACGAAACACAAAGGTAATTTAGTACAAGCAAGAACGTATATATTAGATTTACGCACTTACTAAGGGCTGCAGCTGGTGCCAGGGACCCATAATCAACGTTTCTAGAACTAGGTATGTTGAAAAACTGAGCGGTATTGCGTGGCGCCGCCGCTGCCAGCGACAAATGTGGCGCTGCTGTCGCATCCGGATCCACTCACTGCATGCTTGCTCGTGTCATTCACGTAACCTCCATCGCCTGTGCATGTTGCAGTGCGTCGATATCTGTGGAGGCCTCTTTCTGCGTGAACAGTTATGTGCTTCAGCGTGCCCTGTTCTGCTTTGTATGTGTTGCGTGTTTTCATCATGCCCAGATGTTGCATTCCCGGCTGTAGAGTAGCTAGAGCAATGAGAGACATAACATTTTTTTTGTACCCACGTGTACCTGAGCAGCGAGAGGTATGGGACCACGCTATTCCTCGTGCAGATAATAAACTGCCTAGCACCTCACGTGTGTGTGATATGCACTTTCATGAGGAGAACATCCTGAAGACTTTCACTCACGTCATATGGTAAGAGGGTACAAATCGCCAGAGCAAAGTGAGAGCTCGTCGAAGGATGCGTTCCACGAATATTCCCGAATTTGCCCGCTTACCTTTGTCGCGGGGCCCGCGAAAAGAAGCGAAAGCTGCCCGATAGGAGTGGGGTATTTTCCGGAATATCATCGGCAAACAAGAATAGACTATCTTCGAGCACTGAGTTTGAAGACAGTGAAATAAGTCCCGACATGCCGTCAACTAGTGGCATCATTTCACTTCAAGACATAGAAAACGTTTGTTTGCATGCTGCATGCTGGTGGAAAGTTGTTGAGAATGGCGAGACAAGTCGTCTTGTGGTGTTTCTAGTGCTAAAAAAAAGTGCCATTTGTGGAGAAATGTGTTGTCTTCGCAGAAGACATGACAGTCACCATTAGCAGCCGTCAACACCGCTTGGCCAAGTCGCCCGGCAATGCAAATACCATCACCCAATTGGCCGAACTTCTGAGGGACATTGAAAAGCTGAAAGTGTATTCATGCTCAAAGCTTTGGCTGCAGATGTGTTAACAGGTTTCATTAGAGGAATTCAAAAAGAAGCAGAGGGAAGACATGCTCAAGATAATGGCCGCACGCGTAGCTTTTCGACTGTCTAAGTTGCTAAAGAATGTAACTGACATGAAAAAAAAAGCTGTTTACATAACCACACAAAAGGCACGAGATTGTGCCATATATTTGTAATTTCTTTTCAAGCACGAAAAACACAGCCACAAGAGACGATGCAAGACATTGTAATTGGGTTTTTCGCATGTAATAATCTATTGCAAACATACACCAACTAGCAGCTAACCAAAAGACTCGTGTATGTTATGCTATATATATCAAGCATTGTTTATTGTGGGCTGTTCAGAAAGCCATAATTATACTATTCTTGCCTGACACCGCTAAATATTACGGAGTATTAAGTTTCTGCGGCAGCACAACAAATCTCGATAATATACTGTTGGCAAAGCTCTTTCCGAACGGCCGCTACGGCGTTTTGCCACGACGACTACGGATTTTCGTCTGCTAGCGGAAGCTGGTTGCGCCGCCAGTGCCACCAAACCGGAAGCTGTCCCGGCGCTGTGTGCCGAGTAGTCTGACGCGGGGAGTTTCGCAACTTACCTAGTCTAGAAACGTTGCCCATAATGAAGTCTTTTGCACTGCCTAATCATATTTTGTAATTTGTTTTTGTATTTAACTCTTCCGGCCCTTTGGATAAAAATCTTTGAATAAAAAAAAATGTGACTGCTGAAATGGCAGCCTCACACGGATTCTAAGTGAAAGAACTTTAAATTTATTGTTGTATGCAAGAGCCCCGGCAAGTTTGTAATGACTGTTATTCATAAACAGTCATTACTTTCATTCTAACTACCTTTCTCATAAGAACAGTGCCACGTGCGTGTTGCGTCAGGTGTGAGGAGCTCTACGTTCATTATAAGATGAGAGCCTCTCCCGATTATCTCCGATATGCCCTATCACATGATAGCCAGATCTGTTTTATTCCAGTAAACTTCTTGATTTAATCACACCAATCAGTCCGCTACCTTCCTAAATGGAATTTTCTAATCACTTGAGTTTCAATTTTCAAAAAGTGTTTAGTTTCTGTAGCCATTCCCTCTATACACTAGGCTTTCCTCTGGTGTTAAAAGAGCATTGACATCAAATTTCAGAATCGAGATGTGCCCTTCCTGTGGTTGCTCGGTGTGTGCAAGTCACCTTGCCAAATTTGAATAGAATCCGTCGCGTGGAAGTTATTTTATTTTGATGGCAAATCGCGTACTAGAGTTTAATTAATATGCAGTGCCCTGCGACATCGACACTAGTGCTACGTGTTCGGTGTGATACATTCCACACATACCGTCCTGAGTGACGATGCGGTAGTAGCGACGACGTCTATGATCCGAGCGTTCTTATCATGGTGCCGCCTGGCGCCGAAGCCTGGATACGCATTCGCTCGTCCCGTCTGATTTTCGTCGCACAGCTTTGAATGATTGCGTGAACTTACCAAGATGCAAACCACCTTTTAAAAAATGGCGAATAAAAAAAAGCATGATTCAACATGTACTTGTCGGTCAGCATGTCGCGGGACCATTGTGAGTTGCAGTAGTCTCGTTCGAAGCGCGGAAAAAGCGCAATGAGGGTGTCTTTTCATATCACGTATATGTTACATGCCAACATGACCACAAGCTATCAAAGTGCAACAGCGTATAGACAGATACCACCGCTAGCAAACAACATGCAGGTATCATTGAATTTTAGTTCGTATGTAGACTTCTTTGCGTCTGCGTAATACCGGGTTACTGCCACCGCAACCGCAAGAGGCTGGATAGGCGGGGCCATCTGGAGGCAGAAAGAAGAGCCTGGCAAGCAGGGAACGTATTTCATTTCTCCACTGGTGCTCATTCACGATAGCGATATTCTGTTGACCCCTTTGCATATACCTGAATGCCGTGCACGCCAAAACACACCAATATAACTGAGACACACGAGCGAACATGGTATCCTCGGGCACCTTCTCTAAGCTGCTTGCAAAGGCGTCCATTTTGAAATCACTGTTCTGTAAAGGGTCCATCGAAGCAAAGATAATTTGTGACGTCACCAATCACGGAGATTCCAAGCTCCAGACTATCGTAATCAACCCAAATAGAAACTTTGTACGGCGACGACGGCAATGCAGGCGACAAGGCATGACTGAAAATTTCCGCCCAGCAGACGAAATGTTTGTGGAGCGGCTTAGCCTGACGTCACTCTTTTCTGAGGAGAAGTGGTCAGCAGTAAGGCAATCTGGAAGTGACCGCGAGGTCGCGCCACTGGTATTGCTCCCAGTGCTGAAAATGGCGGGATTGCCAGCTGTTTTGAACCGTGCTAGATAGCAGTGGTATAAACCAATAAATGTGACAGTTATTCATCCCTCAGCTGCGCTCTAGGTCGTGAATCGCTGCTACGGCGTCTATAGCTACTCGCTGATCCAAAAATCTTGGCATGAGTAAATTTGATGTCAGTGCTCTTTTAATGCAGTGGCGTTAATGACCTCGTTTCACAGATATTTTGGTATCAGTGTTTTTGGTTATGAGTGAAAGATCAGCACCATTTGAGAGTGAAAATTTGAGGTTGATGAGCCCCCCTCCCCTAATGGAGGGATAATAAATATATCCGGTTGATATGTGTTCAGTGATTCACCCTGTGACTCCTCACTCTGTGGGACAGGGTGTTTAGCCGCTCGGCCACCAGCCATTTACGATTGCTGATATGCACATCTTGGAGATTCGTCAGCATGGCAGAGGTTTCACTTTGACCTGGAAGATGCCACAAAGGGCTGACAAGAGTGCTTTTAAATGGTATCCCCTTGCCATGCTTCATGCCGCATGCATGGATTAAGAGCCACGGCTCTTATATACCCGAATCCTTACGCACTTTGACTTTCCTTGAAGCGTGGTTTAGGTGTATACCAAGAATTGAAGCTAGGCTAGCGATCGGGAGGTCGACGTGCGCACGGCCTAACTGCGTTATCCAATGCTGCTCTTGAAAGCGAAGGTTGAGTGTCCTCAAAGTTCTTTAATACAGTGCGTATACTTCGTTTCATATATTATGTGCAATGCCGCGAAAGCTATGCAACAAATTTGACCAGCAAGATGTGTGAGTATGTGGGTTTCACCTATGGCTTTCGTGAGCCAAGCTTTTACCATAGCGCAGATAACAAGAACCAAAGATGATGACTTCTTCTCTTACATAATCTTCTGTCCTTGTTTGTTTTTCATGCCCTTTCGACGAACTGATACAGCCTGACAGCATAGCATTCCAGTAAAGGTACTGTACTGCACTTGCACACACATGAATTCTTATCATCGGTTGCATTCCCTCGACTTATCATTTTCGTTGCTGCTACTGCGTAGTTCCTTCATAATAAAAGAAAGAGCGATATTTTGCTTATGCTTGGTTGTGCATTGCTTGGTTGATTCGGGATTGAAGTGGCATGATGGCATCGAAGGCAGTGATGTTAAGGAGACTACTGTATACCTTCCCCCCTCTATGTTCAATCTTTTGAAAGTGAAGTACTCTGACCACACACCTTCATAATATCGGTGTCAGATGCGTACTTTTCATCACGATAACAATTAAGTTCATCTACGCTGTGAATGTCGCCTAATCCGGATGGAGTTTGGCACAGACGTCCCGTGTAACAGTGATGGAACCGGATGCAGTCTAATCTGGGTCAGCCCTGAACGTGTGATCACACACCCCGCTACTTCAGAGTATCTCCTACAACGGGTTTCAGTATGAAAACGTTAAATAAAGGGTGGAATCTTGGGCATATCAGTAGATCATAATATATTTAGGGGTACAAGAAAGAAGTACTAGTAAAGAAGAACACGCGCACATCGCTGTTGAAAGATAGCCCTTTTATGTATGCGTACACGCTACCGTAAGTTATTATATTAGTTGAGAGGAAGAATGACCCACAGAAACGTTTACTGGCGAACATTGCCAAGTAACGGTCTCTGCTACGAATAGGAATCAACACCACATGATACCTTCGTTGCTTCCGTGAAACGCAAAGCGTCTTTTTTTGCAGAGAAAGTGCGCCAGAACACCTGCTCACGCTTACAGGCGAAACTTAGCAACACTCACGCTTATGGGTGAACTGTGGTATATGTAGTGTGTGTAGCGCATGGTGACACGCTTCGCGCGCTCTTCGCAGCCGTTCCGTCGATACGCGGGCAATTGGTTCACAACAACCTCTGCAGACTTACCGGCTTCGCATACGACCGACCCGGGCTTGAGGTCCAGTTGTAGCGTCACCAGGCTGATGTCACGGGTGTAGAGGATCTGAGTCCTATGCGGCAACGTGAGCGTCCACAGCTCCGGCGTAACGCGCAGCACGTATACGTAACCGCACGAGCACAGCACCTTGGTGCCGTACGTACGGCCGATTACGTCGTCGTGCTTCAGCGCGCCGTACTTGGTCTGAAACACCTCGCCGTGCGCGAGCTTGATGGAGTAGATGTTAGCGAAAGTGCAGTACACCACGCACGTATCGCCGGCCTGGGCGACGTTGCCGTGCGAGAGGAAGTTCGACATGACGCGGAGATTAACTCGGACGCTACCGGCCACGAAAGCTCAATCCGAGTACGTGAAGGCCAACTTTCTGGGCGCTCGTAGTTTTGAAAGCGACCAAACACGGCCGGCAAACACGCGGGCACAACGTGCACGCACCCGTCAAAACAACAGCGCACGTAACCGGAAGCTTGCTTCAGGAAAACGCTAGAATTGCACGGTGTTTGCAGCTAGTTTCGGTTTCGTTTGCGTTGGTGAACCATGGATGGTTTACGTGCCAAGCTGGTTATGATTCTGCAAACCTTTGCCTTCGACATCGGTAGCGTCAGAAAGAAGCGCTTGTTATCAAGGTCGCTGTTCAGATGTCATCTTTACGTAGTGCAGCGACGTCTACATATTTTGTAGCACCCAGGAAATTCTGTTGAACTGATAATCGCGCGTTACGATTAGTGGCACAAATATTCGCTGTATTCGCTATATTACTGTGATCTGTTTGCTGCCTTGCGTGAAGATTTCAGTCTTAATTGAACTGTGCCTATGGCCAACTCTATGCCTAAGGCAGACGTCCAAGCGCGATTAAAAGTTCAAAGGAAGGCGAGTGATTTAATTAGTGCTTGCGCCTCGAAGATCGTCATTGCGGACTACACTACGCCGCAAATGAAGCGAAGTAAATAAAAAGGGCGGATAAGCAACATGCGCATCCACGTTCTTTTCGCATTCTATTCAAATTTTTTTGTCAATTTTCTTTAAACAAAAGCACATTGGAGCTACGCTTTCTCAACCTGTTCTTTTCCGGTGGCGTTACGTAAAATGATAAATGAATGCTTTCACCAGGAAAAAGGAAAGGACTGCTGGCTTGCTTCCGAAACAAGGAATACATAGTTTGCATTGACGTCAGGGTGGCCGTCATCCGATAGCCTCCAGCTGGTTGCGCTGCTGTGCGAGCTCAAACGGGGACGCCAGATTAGTGCCAATGCCCCTCGGTTACATCATGTTTCCTTTGGCACAGCTCAAGAACAGCAGGAAGGGGCGGAGAGCGCAAAACACCGAAGAACACGGGGACCGTTAACAGCGGGTTCTTCCCTGCACTAACACTATTTAACCAGATAAAATGTCTCGGATGCTTCCATCTTCTGCCCCCAGCACAGAGAACCAGGCTTATATTACCGGATAGTGAGCACTTGTCCCAATCTTTTTCTGTCCCATATTTTGTGTGCTCCACTTTATGAAGAACGAAGAATAACCAATAGGCCCAAACTTTCTTCCTTTTGAACTGTATTACCTGTAACTGACGTCACATGAAAACTATGCATACGTAAAGCCGTGGTGTAAAACAGTCAGCACAAGTGACCAGTGACTGAACCACCAAAATTTGCTGTTAGCATTTCATGTGGGCTTTCCCACAAGCTGTACTCGGCCAGCAACGTCTGCTTTGAAAGGTGTATCTTACTAGACGCTTTTTGCAGAGTTACTTCAGCATTTTGTCTTGTGCTCATTTGTCTTATGCTCCACCTAGTCTTACAGTATTCTTGCACTTTATTGGCGTTCGTTGAGAGTTGGAAAATAAGAACAATTGTGATGTTCTTGAGCACTGGTATGACATAACGGTATTACTATTCAGGTTATCAGTCACTCACATTTGATACTCTTCTTTTGCTGTTGTGGCTATAGCTGCAAGGAAACGAAGATCTGTCCCCCCTGGAAGCCCGAGAGAGCACGAAACAGCACCTTGTCGAAAATGATCTTTATTTCCTATGGTACTTAAGAAGTACCAGCAGCAGGGTACAGTATCTACACAGCTTCAGATGCACACTCGTAGTACATACATTCGATAAATAGGCTCTCGCCAATGTGAGAGACCACGCGATAGGGCCGAGTGGCGGTGAGGCGTTAACATTATCATTCACAAAGTGGGATCCAGTGCGCGTGTAAACATGCTTCTGTACATTGTCAAAAAGCCAAAAAAGGAAAGGTAGCAAAACAGTGTGTGCTCTCCTCCTACAATGCACCCAACAACTTTTACAATCATCACCACTCCGGAGATGCAGTGTTACGAAAATGCATTGCAGGACAGGCATCATTCGCAACTCTCAGCTTCAGGTGGCAATTCAACAAGCGCGTGCTCAAGAGAGAGTGTAGTCAAAGAAAGTACGGCGACAGTGAAACCGGTTGTGGAACAAGCGAACACAGAAATGGAGGCGATGTAATCAAGAAATAAAGCAAGAAGCACTCACTTCTCAGACCTTCCAAGAGATAAGAAGGTAGTGAAGCAAGTGACCCCACTGTTCCACAGCCAACCTGTGATACCGACAAATGACAAAAAAAAGAAAGAACCATATGCAAGATCACGACTTTTATATGAAGTTTGATATGATCCTCAACGGACAGCTTATAACTGCTGTAAAGCTATTTGCGTGCCATACATATTGTCTTGATGGTGGCGCTTCGATTGCATGAATGCATGGTGAACGAACAAGACGCAATTAATGTGCTCACTTTAACAGAACACAAGAGACTCCCAAAGTTCTGCGATGGCCGATCACACAGTTCTTTAACTGGAGCAGTGCAGATGCACAAGGGAGCAGACCGTGTACAGTGACAAAAGCAAACTATGCATGGTGACAGTCATAGGCTGCCAGGGAAAGCACTGCACTAAAAATTCTAAGTGCTTTAAATTGATGTTACTTTCATGCCAATTAGACAAGGGGTCACTTCATACGAGACACAATCCTCACAGCCATCAACACTTTGTCACGTCGCCGTCATAAACCTGCGTCCATCACGAGACAAGAGTTACTTCACTAGTTTCTTCAAAGTAATAATGTTAACAGACACTCTTATGTCATCTCTATACCATTCTTGAAAAAACAATAAAGCTGTGACAAAACAGTGCATCGCGACTGATGCCAAAGGTGTGACAGTATGGACAGCTTTGTGAATTAGGCCTAACCGTGCATCTTGCGAGTTGTCAATTTCTTCAAAACTTGGCGCTTTGGCTAAAGATTTGTGAAGTGCATTCATGGAAAGGGCCACTGCGCACCTTCCGTCAGTGAAGCATGATGAACAGCTTTTGGCAAAGAATGCACAAGCGACTGTACCGTACAATTCAGCTTACGGAAATGCAACACCATGTTTATTGCAAAAAGTACGCGCAAATCATCAACTGTACCTAAACCACTTCCAAACCAAGTGTGTGCTCAAGCTTGTGAAACAAGGTCAGTGGAAAGATATTGACCCATGCACTTGTTTATCTGTTGATTGTGACCACATACAGTCAAAACAAGGTGACAATACGCACATAGAGAACACCTTGCTGTAAAGTTCACTAGTACAGTGGCATGCCCTCTGCTCATTGCAATCATACTTTTCTCGCTATTTCAAAATTTATGCTGAGGTACATTCCCGAAAGTTTTGTTTTCTTGATAGTGTTTGCAACATCACCCGGTGTCACTACGTTTGCTAGACAATGCGTGTCCCATGTTCCACCACTCCACAAGCTGGGCAGGCTACTTCAGTGCGTGATTAAAACCACACAACCTACATACAGAGAACCGAGAAACTCTGACAAAAGTACTCGGCACATGAAAGTACACCGCATGGCACCGGTTGTACTGGAGAGCACCCTCAAAAATAGTACTCAATAGAATAGCACACTTTCATACAGAAAAGATATGAGACATACCAAGAAAATCGCTTCACATAAGTACAGATATGGCAGGACCTTGCTGGAACAATCGTACATGGCATTTCCACAGCAAACTGAATTCCTCATTTGCCGCGGGATCTTGTCCTCAAAATAAAACTGTGCAGTAGGCCTCCTTGTCGACATAGATTGTACGAGCAATGGAAACAGCTTTAGCACTAAGAGATGGAAGCTTAAATATTGAAATCATAAAGCCCGCCTATGGCCGCGGCAGACATAACTTAAACACGATTAAGACTTTAATGGGCAGGTTGATGTGCTTCTGACATAAGTGGTTCTTCAGGAAAAACAAAAGCGAATCTAAAATCTAGAAGCGAGAGCTGAAACTTGAAATTGATAGATACATAGTTAATGTCGGACTATCCAGTTAATTTATTTTTGCTCACTTTCAACTTAGGCACATTATATACAGAAAACATTAGAAGTTGAGTTACAATAAAGGTGTCACAATCAGGTATATAGAGTTGGTAAACAAAAACAAAAAAACAGCCTTACAAGATCACTCTTACAATGGAGACGGTCAGCCGAGTATGTCCCAATGATGCTACCGACTGCTAGAACACTGGAAGTGTTCACGCAATGTTGCAAACAAAAGAACCTCAGCACAAAACATATAAGGAGAACATGGTAAATAAAAAAGTCCAGGACAAAACAACATGAATGGAATGATGCCCGTTATGCTTGAAAACGTGACATATGAAAGGCAATTCAGGACTGCTTGGAAAGCAGCTCAAGAGGAAGTCTCACTTAAGTCGCGAATACATGCGGAAATTGCTCATCTTGAATGGCACCCTAAAGAAAAAGGTGTATTGCGAATAAATCAGGTTTAAATTACAAAACCAACAGTATAATTTTCGCAATTAGTTTTTTCACAAATTTAGAAAACAGCTAAAATGTAGTAGCCGGACAACACTGATGAACACGTTAATACCAAATAAAGTAGAGAAAGTTTTTATCATGGAGAGAGTGAAGGGAAGGGGAAAATGTAGATGCAAAATAACAACAGTAATCAAAGCTATAAACAAAAATTTAACGAGGCAACTCTGTGAGATGGCTGTTAATAATACAAGCCCTTCTTTTGTCATTAAAACAGTTTATTGATGAAAAAAAAACCAAAAGTATGCAAGCCACACATATTACTCATGCTACATGGGAAAAAAAGACAAAAGAGCGTGTGCTTTCCAGTAAATAACATAGTTTGAATTTTCACTAATCACATTCAGCCACAATCCACAAAGACATGACAAACAGCGACCGACAGTTCAAAAACACAAATAAAAAATGCAATAAATGCAAATAAGCATGCAACCTAAGCTCTAGAACAACAACAAAGCAAGGAGACAAAGTGAGGATGAACTTCCTTGAAGATAGAAAACGTGAAGTAGACAAGAAAATCAAGCATCTTACAGGAAGAGGGCACTCAAAAGGAATTAATGAAAAAAACTCCACACGCACAGCTGGGGAAAGAAATGCTTTCGAGATCAAGTTGCGGAGCTTTGCGGAAAGCTCGTCATGACGAACACAGAAGTTCATAAAAAAATCGCCCTTCTATATTTAAAAAAATTCAAGTCGAACGTAACTTTTTCTGGTCTTTAACCCAGTACAAATAGTGAGATACTCCTTTTGATTTACATATAGGAACACAAGACATATTAGGTATAATTATGTGCACATTCGGTGGTTGTCCTGTGTTTTAATTAAGCCCACTCAGGATGTGGCTCGAATTATAAGCCCCTAACCTGTGGTTAATTACCAAATAAGACCACGAGACGCCGTCTGTTTCCAAAGTGAGTTTTTAGCAGTGAGTTTTTAGTGGCCATCCATTAATGAACGTCGTAATGTAGGCAAAAGCTGTGCAATATGGTTTGTCATAAGTTTCAGCACCACCAAAGTACACGTTTTCCTCCTGTCCTAACGAACTTGTTAAGAAGGTTTTGAATCAATCGGTGAAATCAAATTATGCACCATCACGATTTCTACAGCGCTTCTCAAATACTAATCAATACACCTCCCCCACCCCACCGCATTCCACATTTTATGGAATGAAAAAGAACATTCTCAACATTTTGTACATGCAATATGCCTCCAACACAACTATTGTCACATCCAAGTCTCCATGCCACGTAGAAAAAGTAGTGAGCAAGGCATGCAAGACAGTTATAACATGAAAAAGCTCATCACCTATGGGCTGTGTGCAAAGTATAAAAGATTGACGGATCAACATGGCACAATTAAGTTCTAGAACAGAAACCCAGTATAAGTGCGAGACATTTGATGGAGCCAGGAGATGACACTGTGTTGAAGAGTAATGCTTCAAATGATGCAGCAAGCAACGAAAGTTATTCCGTACTGAACCCACCGGGAGTCGTATCTTCAAATGATCACTTTCAAGGGCACTGCTCTCACGGCACAGTGATTCACTGAGGTCAGACGAAAGTGTATATGACGAAAAGTGGGGGTGACGGAAAGTAGTTGTGACGGAAGTGCGCGTAACGATGTGCCACACACCCGCTATTCCCTTCACGTCACGAGCGCAGCGACAAGACAACGTCACTTGTGCGGCACCACGCCTCGTGCCAGGACTCAAAAGTGGTCAGTTGAGAATCCGTTTCTACAGGCGGCAAGCTGAAAGCACTGCAAGACAGCCAAGTGATGACGAGCACGCATCGTATTGAACCGGAGTGCATTTTGAATGTCATTAAGAGCAACAGCTAAAACACCAAGCTTTCAATAAAGTGTATGAGTACAGCTTAGCAAACCCGCCCTCCCCGACCTCCTGTGAACTTCAACGTCACTGCAATAAAAAACTAGTACATAAAAAAAGTGAATAAAGGAAATGCAATCCCCACTGAGGATATGAAAAATGCCCCATGAATTTCATAACGTAGCTTTGATGCTGCTATGTGATGGTGGGCGATTTTTTTTTTTTTTTACGTCAACAAATGCTTTTTTTATTTTCAGCTCTGTACCCATGCAACACGTGTAGAAAGATCGGAATGTCTTGCCATGAACATCTTGCAAAACGGGAACATCCGAGGAAGCAGAAAAGAAAACTGGCTGATCGTTTAGCTCTCGCTAAGCACAAACTACTGCGCGCTAGCGCTGTTTCTTCACTCGTCAAGTCCTCACAACCTGAAGACAGCACTGTTGCAGTTCAAGAGTTTGGTTAGCCCACACATTTCTTATGGCCTCGACATCAGCGGTGATATGCCGTTCTGTCTGTGCTAGAGTTTAATTTACACATTCATCACTTTTTATCAACCTGTCTGCTTCCACTCTCTCTTGTTAAACCTCAATGTGAAAATTGGTCAATGCATGTGCACGCCATTTAAGGCATATAGTTGGTTGTTTCGTGAAAACCAGCACAACATGCCAACCAACCCAGATGGGCCTAGTGCCTCAACCATGCTCCATATTCCAAACTGTGACACGGCTTGTGCAGATACGCTGCTGAACACTCTGCGAGACGAGGAGAAATGTGTGGCGCTTCCAACCACCAGATGCAATAGAGTAAAGCGTGGCTTCCTATTGGCTGCAGCTGTCATGGGACGCACGCTGATTGGCTACTAGCCAAATTGGAGGGCCTACTGCTAGCACACTAAACAAAACGAAAGAAATGATGTATTTGCAAGCACAATTTGCAAACTTGCAGTGCTATGGAAAACATCCCTTCTAGTCATTGAAACATGGACATAAAAAACAAAGTATGAAAGACACCACCAATCTTAAGATTGCATTGGCTGCTTCTCTCACAAAGACAATTCTGTGAAGCAATGTTAAAGCAAAGCAAAGAATGATGAAATTCAGCTATCTAAACTGACAGCCCTGATCTACTCTCTCAATTAAGATAAATATAGATCCTTTGGTTGAATGCGAAGGAAGATGTCATCACTTCCTGTTACTAATATCGAAACGTACCTCAAAGTGACAGAAACCCTGAAAAGGCAAAGTTCCCAGCACTATGTTTCAATTGTGCTGTTCATGCCAAAATGGTCAACAATGCACGCTAGGACACATGCACAACGCTATTTCTGTGATGGCGCAGAAGTCAACACCAGCAGTCCGAAAGGCGAAACAAGAGAATCGCGCCAAACACCAAAAATGACACTGAACCATTTTGTCGACTCTGAAGCGATCCTACAACTTGGCACTACAAGAGATTCTGTGTTTCAAAAACAAGTCAACGCTACAAAATACACCCTCAGTCGAATCCATTTTCGCGCAGCGCTTGCCTTCAAGCAAACTCGTCACTAGTAGTGCTTCAGCGTTCACTTCTCCTTGCAGTAGTCGTGTAGCGCTACAATAGGTCTAGTTGGTCCTGAAATACGGCGTCCTCTCGAGCAGAGACGCTAGTCAAATCCGTAAAACAGATTATGGTCCGTAACAGCCGGCGGTGTCTTGAAATGGCACAATGAGTCGTTACGACAAACGAGATGCACGCACTTTCCCGCACTACAAAGTCAGATACAATGTCACACTCTATATACTTCGTAAACAATCAAGCAAATCCATTTCCCCTGCAGATATCTTGTGAAAAAACTCTACGCATCCAACCGTTCCTGGGTTTAACGCAAATCAAAACGACAGCACTGCAAAATGCCTCTCATTGCCAACCATTTGACAAAACCGCCACTCGCTCATTCACCGCTTAGTAACGCGCAGCATAAGGTGATGCTGCTTTGAAAGCAGCATGCTGGCACACACAAAGTTCTGAGAAAGTAGGTGTCATCGTGAGCACCTATCTGACGACCCACCTAGACTACCTGGAAAACAGACAAACATCTCCCACACTGCTGTTCAGTGCAATGCGACATAATACACCTTCATGCAAAAGAATTTACCTCCCGCCATGCATGTCAAAAAGCACCCGCAGCCCTTTCCCGCACTTAACGCACCGTACGGAATCAAACATACAAGTAGCCGCACGAAGCTGGCCTCTTTTGCCCCAACCTCAATGCCGGTTCAATTCAGTACAGGTTTTGTTTTTTGACGACATGACACAGCAAGAACAGCGACTCTTCTTCGGGCAAGAAAATAAACTGCACTCGGTGCAAAAAACAACAACTCTGAGGTCTGAAATTTTGACACCTGGGGTGCGCAATGACCGGCGTGGTGCGTTTTGTCTCATTTGGGCAGACTGGTGCATTGACAAGACCATTCCTGACCACGACTTCCTTTCGGCTTTTGAAACTATCACTCCGTCACGTCAAATCTCACATCGGGGCTTACCTAAAATTGAATTGGGAAAGTCAATTATATTTGTGGGAGCCTCATGGTTCAGCGAACTAAAAGCATTTTCCACCATGTATCACTAGATCTCACGTTAAAAGGTTACCTCCAAACCTTCCCGTCAAAATTTAGCCGTTTTTCTAATAGTTTCTTTTTATATGCTATTGAATGCCACGAAAACCAAGCATGGCACCGCCTTACATTGCGCACCTCAGGTGTCCCACCAGCCTCCTTGCAACAGGGAGGATCGCAACCATGCACGCAGTTGGATCCACTGGTGTGGAGTGAGTGCAGACCTCTGTGTCCACCACAGCCCGGCTGCACTCCTGCACTGTGCTCCAGCGGCGAAACATATGCGCACCGCGTTCCCAGGTCTTGCGAAGTGAACCGATCAGCGGCGTCTAGGTTTCTTCAAAGATCTCCGCAGACCCTTGTCTGACAATGCAAGGAACAAGGATGACGCCGAATCTCGTGGTCCTGGCATGCTGCAGGCCGTGACGATACCACCTCAGTTGACGAGCGGACAGCAGTATTAACTCGACACCTGCTACGAGAGTTTCATATTGTAAATGTACGAGCAGAAAAAACAGCAAGAACTGAAAGGACATGATGACACAGGTGCCCAACTTACAACAGTTGCAAGTCGAGCGTCTGTTCCGTCATCTCCTTTCCATTCACGCCATCTTCCGCTTACACGTTTACGATAAGTTGCACGAACAGCTCCAGTACACCATTGTGCTGAAGAGAGTCCCATCAGCGATCAGCCCTTGCAGCTCCTCTGGCAACCGTAGCAGGTCGAAGCCAAGGAAGGGCACAACAGCATCACTGGTTCCTTTTTCTTTCGCTGTTTTTTTTTTTTTTTCAGAACGCTCGCGAGTGCAGTCAGCTGCCGATGCCCCACGAAAGCGAGGAAAACAAGAGGGTGGGGGGAGGGACGAAAAGACGAACAATCAGTCAATGTGGTCCTGGAAGATGAGGCGCACGTATCCCGGATACCCTTCCAGCTGGGTGGCGCAGAAGGGGCAGGCTGCCTGGAGACCATTGGTGCCGTGCGGGATGGACACCGAGGCCCAGTACCTGGATCAGAGGAACAAAGTGTACTGTATTTAGGCAGGAGAAAACAGAGGTAGAAATTATTGACTATACAGCCAGGAGCTAAGATTAGTTTCAGGAGACGTCACACTAAAATGCTAAAAAACAAGAATGTCATGCCCAGGACTGTACTTTTAGAAATATAGCTCAACCCTTGGCACAACGAACCCAGATATAACAAAATATCAGTTATAACGAAGTAAATGAAGAATAGTCTTGCAATAGACCTAGTGTTAGGATTATACCTTTATAACGAATTTTGGGATATAACGAACTTATTTTCATGTAAGATGCAACTTTGTTACAATGATGTGCGAGTGTAGAACAAAACGCGGAACTGAAGTAGATGCAGCCATTGCTGAGAAATTAGCAGGACAAGTAAAGCAGAAAGAAGAAGAAATAGCCGAGAAAATTGCGTTCAAAGTTGTATCAAAGATATTGACTCTTTCGTTACCACACTTATTCAAATCGATCACCGGTGATCGACGCTTTTGGATCGTTCATTTTGGCATGTTAAATTTGTTTATCGTGCACCCAGAATTTTCTAATAATTAGCCCAGCCCCTCAACTTTTTTAATCAATTCGAATTTGTCCATTTTGGCAACATAGTGATTTTTGACAGACCTTAGCACAAACTAATGTGCATGTATTGTTGAAAAAGTACACTTGGCTGGCGAGCTTGACAGAAGTGCATACCCCTCGTGATTATGCTAAAGTAACATCGAAGTTCTGTACTGAAAGAATCTTTGCAAGCCAAATATCTAATTAAAGTGTTAGCTTTGCAATTTGACTCTGTTGAGCAGTAATAATTGCCAAAAATTTTTGCCAGATATTCAATAGAGAGCTGTTCCTAGGAGTCGGGGGAAAATTTGTTCTACAAAAAGTATTCACGAAGGTTCGGCGCACATTTAAGGTGTAGAGGTGGCCTTCTCTGACAGTTTCCAGCAGACTTCGTTTTTCTTGCATTATTATATCAGGCGCAAGGTCGCATCTAGTGTCACTAATCACTCCTACGACATCGTCGTCACGCACGCATGGGTGTGCACCAGCGCTACAAAAAACATGCATTGTTCGAAACTGTCTTGCAACCCCACTTGAATTGAGTGAGGTCGAGCTCAGAGTTTAAAGATGACTGCATCTCAGCTTCAAATTTTATGGAAGCAATGTTTTGGGTCAGCCTGAGACATCCACATCCTTTCATGGGTTTCTTTTGTTTACGGCCTCAAGTTGTCCCCTCCGCCTCAAGTGCGTAGCTGCTAAGCCTTGTGCACAATCTTATAGTTACTCTGGTTATGTGCACAGTTCATACTTCGCTAGGGCGCGGTGTGCTGGTGCTGGCTGCAGAGCTTCTACTAACGGCAAGAAGACCCCCAGAGCACATCTTGACGATGACTTCAGAGCAGCGCAAAAAAAATTTAGTACTGCGCGCGATATTGTCTTTTCTTTCATACAGTATGTGCAAAAATGCAAAGAAATATGCTTGTATGCATATATTGGAACTCCAACCTATGCTGAGTGAGGTGGCTCATAGAAAGAGGCGATGATAGATAAATTAGCGAAGCTCGTTGGACGTGCCATTTATTGAGGCATTATTCACATCACGGTTATCCATCTATATTATTGGAACACCTGGAGACTCTTATCGCAAGAGAACAAAAATTTACTGAGAAAGTGTACGAGTACACATGTGTCTCGCGAAAAACAATAGAATGCTTCAACGCACAGCTTGAGCAATGAAGCAGCACCTCTGTTCCGATTTTCTTTGTCTATGTTAAGAGAAGCATTTTGTACAACATTCGCTATTTTTAATACTGTTTCTGGGTCATTTGTATACAAAATGTATATACTGAGTTGTCTTTCGTTTTGAATTTTTTTCGCATATATAGGGCTTTTTATGTCACTGTTTACCAACTGGTGACCAAACATTCCACACTCTTCACATTTTTATTCATTGTAAAATATTTTTGTTGCTCTACAACATATATTTTTGGGGAAGAGCATTTCATTGTGCAAAGTTTAGTATGATGCAATGCATGCTGGAGTACTTTTTAAACTGGCAAAAGCGATCTTCGTAGACATACGAAAAACAACCATTTTCGCGCGGTAACGAATGAGTTAACATATTTACTCAAATCTAAGCCAAAGTTCTTGTTTTTTTTTTTTTCAAAAACGATGTGCGAAATTGGCTCGAAAAGATGTCTCGAAAAGATTTTCGAGACATCTTCAGGTAGCGCTGTACGTTGACACGGTCGCTCAGGCTCAGCAGCGGAGAAGTGGTCCCCATGGCTACACTGGTGAACCGCATAGTCTGCTTCGTACTGTGCATTGTTCTGAAATCTTGCAGTTCCACCGGTTCCAAGTTCATGAAGTGAGGTGTGGGTCATTGAACTGGCGAGATTTCACACCAGCAAGGATCGGCCACGTCACATGATTAAGACGACGTCGATCACGTGCACAACAGGCAGCAACAAGCGCGAGCGTGGAGTTGACAGTTTTTTGGAAGCGATCGTTTAGTGCAGTCGCATTGGTTGAGTTCTGGAAGTGTTGCGCCTTAATCACGTGCTTGCGAAACGTCCGAGGGCCATGTCATGCAGCACTCACTGCTAGTCTTCAACTTATATCTTCAGAGATCTGACTGACTGTGTGAAAACCGCGCTTTCTCACGCTGGGACTGACATCGCCGTTGATCCCAGTGACATGACCAGCTAACTACAACAGCTAGACATCTTCATTATTAAGCCCTTCAAAGATAGGCTTCACAAGCACTACATTCCCTGGCTTATGTTGGAAGAACCTCAGCTAACCCGAACCAGGCGCATTAAGCGCGCTTCGCTCGGTTAACCGGAGAACTGGATTGCCATGGGGTGGAACGAAATTCGAGATGACACAATCATAAAGCCTTCAAAAAGTGTTGTACATTTCAAACGCGATGAATGGAAGTGAGAACGACACACTCTGCGATGAAACGAGCAACAACGACAGTGATGCTGCAGATGATAACAACGTCGAACAAACGTACTATGTACCTACGGAGTGTGCACTTATGCATTAATAATAATGGGTTTTTCTCCCTATGATATGGCGTTTCTTTCATTCGGCCTGCATTCAAGTTGTTTACCCCCCTGGCTTTGCGAACTCGGGGGTCGGCCTGCAATCGGGGGCAGCCTAAATTCGAGTAAATACAGTTCATCAAGAGGCACCAGGGTCATAATCTTCATAGTGGACCCGTTTCTCGAGTGCCCTAATTTTACTTTTCTGTACCTTGCATCTCTAAAACAAGGAAAGATTCCAATCTTTAGTGTGTTTTATGAAAATGAACCTCTTGCACATGTGGCCTTTTATCTGATGAACCTTTGTTCCCCTTATTATAATTTTTTTTTCAATCGTTTACTGATCAGCAAAGAACATACTGCATGAATGTTAAACCAAGTTTTCTGCATGAAGTGGCGCAATATACATGACATAAAGTGAAGTATTGTGATATTATTAGGCCATACAGCATGATGCCTTACCAGCTTTCTCGTATTAATGCATCATTAACATAATCAAGTCTCAACTGCAACTGATCATTGACCACTTTAATAGGACATTATAAGAAAGACTGGCTCTCATCATGACCACTTATCCCTTTCTCTCATATAACAGGCAGTTATAGCCAAGAAATTGGTGGAATAGAAATTTCTAAGCCATTTATTGATTAGATTATGCAAATTGGGCTGACATAATTCATCTCCCTGCTTCACTCAAGCTCATTGGCACACCTCGCTGGTGATGCGCTCATTTTTCAGCCAGTTGCAGACACGTGATCTTCGAGGCTTTTGGCATTTCTGAAAAGTCACGAAAGCTTGCGGCAATACCAAATGCACCTAAAATGCATCACCAGTGCTCTACTTCTCCTCGAAGTGCTTGGCCACTAAGTTATGAAACTCAGCACACAATATGTTGGATGGCGGCATCCGATGACAAAGCGCACAATGCCTAGACGTGGCAACAAAAAAAACGGTGCGCATTGTGCTTGGTCGCGCATTTCGGGACGCTGACATGCAGGAGGTTCACTGTTGATGCGCAAAATGCTGGACAGACACGAATAGAAAGACCCAATACTACAAAATTATGGACTTTTATTACTAAAAATCTAGGCGTATTTGTCCACCACCAAGCCCCAAACTCGACAGATCTGAAGCGATAGATTAGAGGCAATTGCGAACCCAGACCTTCCCCAACCCCATTCATATTAGGAGGATATACCCAGATGTCTATCCATATTATACTTGCAAATTGTGCAGCTGGACTCGCACATCGCTTAAGCAAATTTTCTGGAAATGTGCAGTTTTAGAAGAAGAAAACGCAGTCTCCCCAGATGAGGCTGCGGAGAGATGGACGCTTGGGCTGCGCAGCTCCAAACTCCAGGATCAACTGTGGGCCATCCAGCAAGCCCGCGAGGCAATGAGAAGACAGGGTCTTCGGTCCTCCTCACGGGTGGCCGAGGCCCAGGTTACGAATTTGCCGGATTTATTAATAAAGCTGTTACCTCCCCCAGTTCCAAGGCGCCAATGGGCAATGGGATTCATTGCTTGTGATGAGACACATCGCAGCTTTTTCATTTTCGCATGCCCGCTAGGCGCGATGTACTTGCCCGCACAGTTCAAATTCGTCTTGTACATCGACGCTGTGAGCAGAGTTGTGCCTAGTCACGATTCTGAGCAGTAAGCTCGGCCGGGATACCCGATGTTTCAAGGTACGTCAATTTCGATCGGGAGTACAGAGTGATTCCTTGATGGCCTTCATCAGGAAGTGTGACATGCTGATAGACAGAACCTACAACAGCGGGTCTGAGAAGTCAGTTCGCAACACTCAACTGCAATGCACGGGGCACTATTGTACTCTCGTGATCAATCTTCCGGCCAAACAGCAACATATTTATATTCTACACGATTGGCTGCCTAGGCACACAGAGCTAGTGCACAGTGCATCACTAAGTAGCG